ACAGATTGCCTTTTTTAAAAACTGGTCTGCATGGTACACTTTTCCACCAATAGCAAAGGGGGTACAGTCCCCCCCCCCCCCCCCCCCCCCCCTTTCCTTTTCTTTTTTTGCTCTTCACTGACTGTAGGAGTGAACGGTTTCAATTTTAACCTTTCTGCTCTGTGTTGTTTCCTCTTTCAGACCAGAAAATCATCGCAGCTGATTCTGGACACAACGTCAATCTGACATGTCGAGCTCCAAACAACAACATATGTGTAAAATGGAGCCGAGCTGACCTGGAGCCAGAATATGTTCTTTTGTACCGGGATGATCTGTTTGTTCCAGATGAACAGCATCCATCTTTTAAGAATTGGGTGGATCTGCAGGACAGACAGATGAAGGATGGAGACGTGTCTCTGATTCTGAAGGATGTGACAACTAATGACACTGGAACATACGAGTGTCGTATCTTTGTGAGAAAAACACGATCATGGAAATCCATCAGCATCATCTACCTTCATGTTGATCCTCCAGGTGAGTGAGTAGAGTTGAGTGTGTGTGTGATCAGAGGTGAAGCTGCTTCCTGGTTGTTGATGTTTGTTTCTAAAGATGTTGCTGATGAGACTTTGTAGAAAGCAGCTGGTCTGAGTGATGTGATCAGCTGACACCTCACACCTGTTTCTCTCCTGCAGCTCGACCACGAGGAGCCAGAGATGATGGAGATGGAGTCAGAAGATATGATGGACTGGTGGCTTTTGGGTTGTTACTACTTGTGTTCGCTGTTGCAGCTGCTGTTGTGATCTCTAAAAAACAGAAGAAGGATCCTCCCCTTCATCATCCTCCTGATGAAGAAAAGAAAGAGATGATCTGAACCAAAGCACGACAGGAAAGAGCGCAAATTTATATATACAGCAAAGTGAAAGAATGAGGAAATGTCAACATATATCACAGTTACAGTAATATACAGGTATTTGTGTTTTAGGACAGGCTCATCTCAAAGTAAAGTTCTCTAAAATCTTTCAGCTGTATAAAAACTCAGGAATTCCTTTTTTCCTGAAGCTTTTCTCCATCATAAATTCATCACAGCAAAGATCCAAATGTGCTGCTCACACAGTGAACTGAAGCACTGATGGAGTCACACTTGTTGCTCTCTGGAGGATCAAACTGGTGTCAGGAGAAAAACTCCAGTAAAACCTTCATTTAGTGTTCACAACAGTTTAAACGTTTCGTTACTCATTTTAACAACAAGAGTTTGGATCATGAACATCTGGGTCTTGGACACATTTTCTGCTTGTGCTTTACATGATACACAGCATCGGCAGTTTGATATATTTTAACCACAGCATGAAAAATAAAACCATTCAACAAATTGCAAAATAAAAAGAAAGCCCTCCATCTTCAGTTTACAGGACAAAAGAGGAGGAGGCAGCTGCTGGGAGTTTTCCTCTTCCTCTTAATTTCGGTCTTAGTATGTGTGTACTTTTTTCCACAACTGCTGTAATGCTTTGAACTTGAGGTTTGTAACTTTCATTCCTGTAATGCTGAGACACTTCCTGTTCATAATAAATAACAAATTCTAACTTTAAGTACGGTCCAGTAGTTACAGACCGGGACCTGATCTGTACCGCGCATGTGCAGATGTTCTCTCCTTCTTCTGTTCGTTTAATGGCAGTTTACTCCCCAGTCACTCCCCTATCACTGTCAATTGCCAGTAAACTCTTTATCTTAAATGTCCCGGGCAGTCGAAAAAGAGGCAGGGTTGTCGAGAAATGCGAGGAGCTAACTGGGCTTTAACCGTGTCATTCAAATATATTAACTGTGGCAATGTTGGTAAAGAGAGGAAGTGACGCGCAAGATTTGCGCATGCGTGGTACCGGTCAGGTTTCCAGATCATACATCAGCAGTGATGCGGCCCCTGAATTTGGACACAGCTATGATACCGGAGACTAGGGCTGCACGATTTTGCATAAAATGAGAATCACGATTTTTTGGCTTAGAATTGAGATCACGATTCTCTCACAATTTTCTTTTCCAGTATAAATATTTATTGCACTTATTAACTGCACAACAACTTCGTAACAGTTGAGACTGAACATAAAAACAATAAATAAACATTAAAACAACAAATGTCTCACATTTTGCCGCAAAATGTTGTACTGCTTGAAATTCTGTCTCCACCGTTGCTCGACACTGCATGTATAGAGCAGGTAGTGAAACAATAGAAAAGTAGTTGCGGGACAGCACTGATCATTTTCCTAAACCGTTTTGCACAGTGACGACGGGAGCCTTTGGTCAGGTGATAAGTAATAGCCTCCGTAATTTCTTTGTGCCTGCGGGAGTTCAACGGATATGGGGAGGCGCTGTATAAGATTCCAGTTATTGAGGTTTGGGTGGTTGACCGGGACGGATTTTCTCCTGTCACTTTCTGGTCATCTCTCACGTGCTCTTGTTTTTTCCTTGCCAATTTTAGCAGCCAGCTGGCTTCTGTATCACGTGGTATAAGGCTCCGTCCTTGTTAATTGTTGAGCAGGAAGAGTGAGCGCTTGTTTTCATGCAGATTACGACCCGGATCAAAATACAGTACAATCAGCTGAAAGGAAGAAAATAGGGTCAAATTCGTACATGTGAGATGAAACTTGAGTAAAGAGTTTCACACTTATTTTTTTGCTATGTGCACACACAAATCTTTTTTTTTACGCATACACAAAAAGGTCCCCTTTTCTTTTTCCCTTTTTCTGTTTCCTTTTTCCCTGTAAAAAGGTTCTTTTTACACATACAAAACTGATTTAGAAGTACAAAAATATTTATGACCACAATTTGAGCCCATAGTGATCTGACATACCAGCAGAAAATATATCAAAAGTTCATTAAGTTACATAATAAAACACTGAAAGTTACATTATTGTAACTGTGATGCATTCACTGACATATAAAGAGAACAGAGAGGCTCTGCTTTGTGCTTATATTCTCCTCCTGTGTGTTTGTGTGTGCAGAGTTTCTACCAGAGCCAAATGTCATCTACTCCTCACTGAAGTCGTCCACCAGTCCAAACACTGGGATCCAGCTGCTGCTCTCTAACTGGTCCACACAGCAGCTCAGACCTGACACATTCACTGTAAACACACTGGTTTATATTCAGTTTGTTCTCCTCATGAAGGAAACCTCACACAACCACTGAGGGCAGAAGGTTCAAATGGAGAGTTTTTGTTATTGTTTTCTTTTATAAAGAAGCTGGAAAATTTACTTACATTTTTTATATTAAAAAGATAACATTTTCTTCACCAAACCTTTCAGAATAAAAGTGTGACCAAGACATCATTTATACATAAACAGTATTTAACTAAAATGTAGATGTAATCCATGTTTTCATGTCTTCAGTAACTTTCCTGTTATTTATATGTTATTTCTAAGTGTGCTGTCGTCTCCACAGCAGTGATCTGGTTTCTCTGCAGGTTCAATCAACTTTGGTCTCACTTGATCTTCTCGTGTGCTTCTGTGGGTTTCACAAAGATGTCTGATGGAAAACGTTGAGTTGCTGTAGTGAACCCAAACACACTTCAGTCCTCTTCAGAGCAGATAACAAAGTTCATGTGAGTCACAGACTTAAAGCAGCAGGAACACTTTCACACAAGAGTCTTAGTTACTGTGAAGTTTCATGTCTGTTGACAATAGACCTGAGAGTCATCTGCTTATCAGACATTACAGATTTGATTTTAACAGATTTGATGGACAAAATCAATCTCAGGCACAGCTGGACTCAGCTTCTTCTATATCTACACGATGGATCGTAGTTCATTATAAAACATGATTTTTAAACTTATTTTATAACTAAAATGTTCAACAGCAAATTTCAATGAAGGAAGAAAAACGTGGCAACTCTATAAGGAGAATAGATTGTAACAAAGTCAAACTATTTTTTTTAATAGATACATTAAAATTTGGGGATATGAAAGAAACTCCATTAATAAACTCCCTGTATATACAGTGTGTTGGAGTTTCTTCTAACCATATGATGAAACTGTCTTCAAAAGAAAGCTCAGTGAATGCATCACAGACACATCTGCTTGTGCCCTCTGGTGGAAGGCTGTTTGACACTGGACCTTAAACATTCGTTTGGAGACCTCGGTAACAGACTCAACAGTTCTTCTGTCTGTAATATGTGGATCACTCAGTGTTTGTCTTCACTTACCCGCAGGTTTTAATTCAGGTGGCCATACAAAACAAACAAACAAAGCAAACAAACAAACAAAGCAAACAAAAACAAAACATTTGAGGGCTCTGAGGAGCTTTTACAAACCTCCATGTACTTAAATTCATGAGACTATAATCAGTGTATTTATTGATATTGTTTATGTCTGCAGGTGTTCTGTCAGCAGTGGGGAGATTGTTTTCACTGAGGTGACCGCTGCTTCCAGAAACATTACAGCATGATGAATAAGAGGCGTTACTCACTTTCTCATTAAATCTGCTTAATAATAATTTTAAATAAGTATGACTTAATTTAAATGTTTTTGCATTTGTTGTCAGCTTCATTTCTGCTGCTGGGTTGTTCAATAAATATACAAATATGGAAGAAAGATGACATGATTTTAATGTCAGCTCTGAGATTTAGACTTTAAACTGATCTTGGTACAGGCTGTTCAGTGACTTTGGGTCTAACCCTGAAGAATCTGTAGACATGGATGACAGGTACTCTCAGGTATTCTCTGCAGCACAAACAACATGCAAAGTGACACGCAGCTTGTGCTGCTGAAACTTTACCCCTTGGCTTTTTTGCTGTTGTCAGTAACGTGAAACTCAACAGATGCACATGAAACCTGATTCTTTAAGCAGAGAATATATCTCTCTATTATACATCGCCATGAAGTCTTCATTGGTTGTTTTTATTTCTTACATTTAATTTGGTGTGTTTTTAAACAGAAGGTCACTGACTCATTTCCTTTAAATCCTCCACCCACGGGTTTACAGTAAGTATCATTTACCAGAAAGTCTCTTTCTGTTTCACTCTGGACTCTGCTGCTCTGTGGTATTCATGCTCCTGTTAAACATGGGATATTTTAAAATCCTTCTGTTTTGTTTTCTAATTTCTGCATTAACAGGTGAGTAACGTGTTTATATTTTTACTTCTACAAGTTCTCTATCTATCTATCTATCTATCTATCTATCTATCTATCTATCTATCTATCTATCTATCTATCTATCTATCTATCTATCTATCTATCTATCTATCTATCTATCTATCTATCTATCTATCTATCTATCTATCTATCTATCTATCTATCTATCTATCTCTGGCAAGCCTGGGAGCTTGAGAGTTCTGCGCAATATCTTAGCTGTTCCTAGGACTGCGCTCTTCTGGACAGAGATCTCCGATGTTCTTCTGGGAACTGCTGGAGCCACTCGCCTAGCCTGGGTAGCTCCGATTACCACAGGGACCACTGTTACCTTCACCCTCCACATCCTCTCGAGCTCTTCTCTGAGCCCTCGGTATTTCATGAGCTTCTTGTGTTCCTTCTTCCTGATGTTGCTGTCATTGGGAACCGCTACATCGATCACTATGGCCGAAGTCCCACAGGATCTTAGCTCGGTCATTCTCCACCACCCTAGGGGGCAGTCTCCCATTTTGACCTTGGGACTTCCAGGCTGTATTCAGCACAGATGTTTCTGTATACTGTGCTGGACACTTGGTTATGTGGTTCCATGTATGTTTCATGTGGCCTTCTTGTAATCAATCCACAAAGTGCACACGTTGGTCAGCCTGGTTTTACAGTCTCGGGCAATGGCTCGGTCTACCAATAGCTGGTGTATGTGCCTCTGGTATTCTTGCCAATCCTGGTGCTGTCCAGCTCTTCATACTGGAGACGCTTTCTTGGATGTCTGCCACTGTGATGGTTACTGTTGAGGGAGGTTGATGTGGTCTTCCCTCAGATCAACTAGCCACTGAGCATTGCCGTTATGGGTTGCATCCTTCTCCCACATGTTCTTCCAGTATTGCTCTATCTCCAGCCTTGGTGGTGCTGTTCCCCTGCCACTGAGAGTCCACCATGGCTGGTTCTGTGGAGAACAGCTGGTTTATTCTCCTGAGTTGTTGCTTAGCAGTTTCCAAGGCCTCAGGTATGGACAGCTTCCTGTACTTCTTAGGCACCTTCTTCATCGCACCTTTCTGCAGCTCCAATGGTTGGCTAACCTCCCTTCATGCTACCTTGACCTTGGTCTCTAGTCTCCCCATGGAGGTACCGCTCCTTGTGGCTGTTCAACTTTTAGCCGAGCATCTCATTGATCACTGCTGCCATAGTATTTTTTAGCTTGTTAGTCTTGGTAATCGTGGCTGTATCGTCTGTAGTGCTGCATTCACATCATCTACTAGATTTTCTGAGGGTGTTTCACGTAGTCTTGGTAACCGGCTACTGAGGATCGAGGTTTCAAGCTTCGCCATGATTTGGTCTCTCAGGTCAGTTTCTCTCGCACTCAACACTTCTTCTTCTATTGAACTTGGGGCTTGGCACCCAGTCTTGGGTGGGTGTGATTATATCTCCCCCCGACCTGTCGTCCATGTGGGATATGGTCCTTAGTGCAGCGTTCAGTACTGCTGACCATAGTATTCTATTAGCGCGATTAGTGCACGCTGTAGATATTACAGGTACTGTGCTATCATATCTATGTAATAGACTCCAATTTGTAAATGTAAATGGAGAGTCAATTAAGGAGCTTGGAAAGAAAAGCGTCTGGACTTCTTTGAGTTGTTTGAAGACGTTTCACCTCTCATCCGAGAAGCTTCTTCAGTTCTAAGGGTCAATTGGTGGAGAGTCCCAGATTTAAACCCAGTGGGCGTTTCCCCCCAAACAGGGAAAAGGACCCCCTGATGATCCTCTAACTAATCACATGAGCCAAGGTGTGAAAACGGGTGTGGGTCACAATCAGCCAGGGTTTCGGGGGAGCTCATTGTGAAACCTGGCCCCACCCTATCATGTGATTATGTGATTTCCTGAGGTCAGATGGCCCAGGATCCCCCCCCCCCCCCCCCCATCATATTCCTTTTCAAGATTTACTTTCTTTAATCACTACATATATCTACATATATTTATAGATACATATATATTTAGTCATCTTTTCTCTTTTACTACGTCTCTCTAATATTTTGGTCTTTTCTATTTTTCTCTTTATTTTTTTATTATTTTATTTTATTATATTTTCTCCTACTGTACCATGCTGCTGAGTGACTGCTGCTCGTCAAACACATTTCATTGCAATGTTGACCCTGTGTGTCCGAAAGTCTCCTTATATTTCAATTGCATCGCTATAAGTGCAGTGTTAATTTCTGCCGATAAGTTCCACTTTGTTCTTACTCTTTGCTGCGGTGATGACGTCACATGCTTTTACGACGCTCCTGCCGTATCACGAGTCCGAGGAGCACTAGCCATGTTTTTCTCCATGAGTGTGGGGGAATAGCGATCTCCAGCCGTGTGCGTTCCTGTGCAAATGTGCACATCCATCTTTTCATGGCCGACCAACCTGCTGCAATTGTTAATGGACACACAGGTTCACCAGTTGCTTCTTCATAAAGACGTCCAGAATCCACAGACATTAAAGTTCATGTTTGGAAAAGTGACACAAGGAGGGAGAAACAATAAGGAACTCTGTTAAACCTGACAACAACAGCACCACAGCTTAGCAAGAAGGGAATGAATGCAGGAAGGTTCACAATTCATTACTCAAGCCAAGTTAAAAGAGATTTTGCATGAAGTAATAAGTGCATTTCTGCCAGAGGTTTCTTCCTGTTAAAAGGGAGTTTTTCCTTCCCACTGTTGCCAAAGTGCTGCTCATAGGGGGTCATATGATTGTTGGGCTCTTGTACGATCTACTGTACAATATAAAGCGCCTTGAGGCGACTGTTGTTGTGATTTGGTGTTATATGAATAAAATTGAATTGAATTGAATATGTGGAGCATGAGTGGACACTGGACACTCCAGGACTTTTCCTTCCTGTTGAGTTTGGCATCTTTGTAAAAGGTCTCTACAGATTAGCTTTTGGAGACTGTGATTGTGTTTCTCTATGTTAAATATAAATATGGATAAAATATGAAATATGCAATGTAATTTATTTTTGTTTGATTGCCTCATTCTGTCTGAGTGAATGTTTTATTGTGGTGTGAATGGGAGCAGCTGGTAAGCCTTATTAATTAATTACCTTCGGGATTAATAATTAATAAAAAGTGTTTTGAAATGAAATGATAAAAACAAGGGAAAAACACATTATTTTCATGTATTCAGCTCTTCAGCAGGATGTTCAGGGGAGAGTTGGAGATGACGTCACTCTCCAGTGTCAGATTTCAACAGAAGAAATAATCTCAGTGCTGAAGTGGAGCAGAGCTGACCTGAACACAGACGGCTACGTCTACTTTTACAGGAACAAACGCTCCTATGAAAATTACCAACATCCATCTTTTCATGGCCGAGTGAAGCTGAGGGACCCGGAGATGAAGGATGGAGATGTTTCTCTGATCCTGATGAATGTTACATTTAATGACACTGGGATGTATGAGTGTCACATAGCAGTGAGGAAATCTGGGAGAAGTAAAAGAGTTCACACAGAGATCAGTCACTTCATTAACCTCACAGTTACAGGTGAGTTTGTGGAGCTCATCAAATGTAAACTAAAAACTCCAGCTTTATGATCCAGTTAGAATCCTCTCCATCTGTGACTTCTGCTTTCTCTGCAGCTGAAAGACATGAAAGCGTGTCGGAGAAACAAGTGATGGAAAAAGGAGATGGAAACATGCATGATGCTGAAAGGGTCAGTGCTCTGACTCAGCAGGCCATTATTCCTGTTGTTGTTGTTGTTCTTGCTGTTGTTGTTGTTGTTGTTGCCATTGGTTTTGTGGTACACCGACGAACTTGTCAACATAAGAAGCAACGTCTAGTCAAACTTCCTACTGAGGACTCAGCTGAAGTGTAATGAAGCTGCTACAGAAATGCATAAGCTCTGTTGCTGAAAACTAAAGCACGCTGTTACAGCATGAACACATTTATTTTTATACAACTTTTAACAAATTATTAGATCATCATCATAAACCGAGAAAAAGCACCCAGCGTTACAAACTGCTTTAATACGGGCTCTTCAGTGAGTTCTTGACTGATATAATATATCTCCAAAAGTTGAATCTGTTCATCATAGCGTTTTTGTGGGAGAAAGGTCATTGAGACTGTATATTTTAGCCATGATAATTGTCCCGCATCTTCACAATGAAATGAAAACAGTTGTTTTATTATTATGTCACGATACAACCTGATGTTATAATATTTAGAGGGATTGTTGAAGCTCACTGTGAACTAAACTAAACATGAATTAAACAATGCAAACAAATGTGTACTGAATGATCCCACCCTGGGAAGTAAATAGGAATAGATAAGTTTGTAACATTGATGAAAGTCAAAACTTTAATATTTTTGTTTAATGCTGCTCAAAATTGTTAGTTCGGTTATAAGAGCTGTTGAATTTTCAGGTAACTGTTGTTTTCATATCAACACTAAGTTATTGTTTGAAAATATTAAAAAGTCATTCACACTGATGCTGGTTGCCAGATGTGGTGGAAGCTGCTCTGTGACAATGAATGTATTTATATTTGGCTTGAAAGATCTGTGAACGTTTGCATTGGTGATTTTGTCTGTCTTTAAATATACATACAAATATACTCATAAAACAGAGCAAACAAAGGAAAATTAAAAAAAGACAAGAAATAAGAAACGTTATGTACTTTGTGTACTATGCACTATGCCTAATTATAACATGTTATTGTTATTAACACACCTGTGTGTAACATATATTTATCATTAAAATGCTTTAAAAAAATAAGCTTTTTTTGACACATGGTGTGCAAAAAAAATAAATCAAGGAACATTATATTACATATGTCACATTTCCCAGTGCATCTCATCGGCTGTCCCCAACATGTGTCATGAAAGTATCGGGGAAACTTCACACAGTGAGAAGAAGAAACAGTTGGTATTTCCTGTTTCTCACCCTGTGATTTATCAGAAAACCATCACATTATAAATCACTTCTTAAAACATGCCCCTTTTCAGTGGCCACAGAGTGACAGCTGATTTTTAAATTGTTTTAAAGTCTTTTCACATAAATGATTTTGTATTTTTATTCTGTTGTTAACTTTGGTCAGCACTTGCTGTTTTAAAGAACTTTACTAATAAAGTTGGCTTGGTCTATCAAATATGTAAATTAGTTATTTACTCAGGAAGTCTGAGTAAATATTGTTTATATTCCAGCTACAGGCCAGTATTCAACACAGTCACAGATGTGCATCAGTCAGCTTTTTGTTGATATTTATTCCTGCTGGATTCTGAAGTCTGTCTTCACAGCCACATCTTTTCCTCTTTTGATCATTTTTTTCCCTTCTCTGCATTTAATACTTTAATAATCATGCCGTCACGGTTCCTGGGCCTTTGACACAGCATTTGGCGTTTCTGTTGTGGACTCCTTCATTCTTTTTGGACTTTGAGATGTGGCTTATTTTTTTTAATTTTTTTTTTTAGTTCAGTCTGTTTGTTCCCTTATGTGTTGTTCTGCTTCTAAGTTTCTCTTATTCCTGTTCTATTCTCACTTTCTGGTGTCTTGCATGCTTGAGTTTAATTCTACATGCCATGTCTCCTTATCCTGAGATTATTATCAACTGTGCTCCCACCTGTTTCCTTTTCCCTCATTACCTGTTGTGTGTATTTAAGCTTTTCAGCAGCCATTCAGCCTTTTTAAAGACAGGAATAATCGTTGTTGCCATTCAGTATGGCTTCCACTTCACAGAAAACTGTATGATGCCCATCATCATCCCGGGTCTGCTGATTTAAAATGATGCGTTCACACAATCCACCAAAATGAGATTATTTTAACCTAATTTAAGTCTGACTCTGCTTCCCTCCACGCTCAAAAGCCAGCATAAAAACTTTGTACTCAAGTGAGTTTCCATCAGCACGTCTCACACAGGCAAAGATGACGAATGACAGCTGCTGTGATCTCCTTCTGTTTTTGCTTTAAATTGAAAATGCCTTCAGGTGCTTCCGCCTCGACTTTTGGCTGCATAGTTTGCATTAATCCCTAAGAGAGAACTGATGGTGCTGGCTGTTTTTCATGCACATGAAGCCCATGAAGAAAATCACAAATATTTTGACTTAACTGCATATTACCTGCATCTTTCCTTACAGCGTCCTAAAAGTGAAAATGATCCCTTCCTTTAACAGACTCTGTAAATGGATCGTATTCCTTTGCCACGGAGTGAAGGGTGTTAGAAACTGCAGGTTGCTGAGTCTTCCTTTCCAGGTGCACTGTGGCCGATGATGCAGTTATTTCAGTCTAAAAAACACAACCTACACACTCAGTCGTTGGTCCTGTTTCTCCATCTCGTGCTTCTCCATCAGAGCAGCTGTCCCAGTTTCCTCTGTAATGCGTGCAGATGCAAACTGCCTTTACATTCGATGCACCATCCACAGGAGAAATATCCTCACCCACCTCGATTTGACTTCCCTATTTGGTCCTTACATGTGTCCCTGTGTGTAACTGAGGAAGTAACAGCCCTTGAAGTTTCCAAATGTGTAACAACACAAACTACCAAAAAAGGGAATAAATGACTCTTACAACATGCAGTGAAACACAGAGGCTTCCCAGAGCTGTCTGTGGTTTCTGTCTACACATAGAAGACTCTGACACTTTGACTCATTGTCAGTTTCATTTCTTTTAAGTTTTATTGTGTTTTAGAAACTAACTGTGAAACATTTCAAACATAAATACAAAATACAAAGAACAAACACACAAGTCAGACCTTTATATGATTCAGAGACAGACTTAACTGACTGTGTCAAGAGATTTTTTTCTTATGAATTTAACTTCAAGGTAAAATTTGTTATTTCACGTTGACATTTTACAGAGAAAACCATGAACCAGGTCAGACTTCAATCTCTGAGTCAGTTGTTCATTAACTTTGACAAACTTCTCCTCATTGGACCACAGATGCAAATCTATTTCAATATTCAAATAGTCAAGCAGGGACTTGACACCTTTATACTAGTGTACTTATTAAATGTGCACTCGTGAGTGAAAGAGGTGTGAACTTCTCATCTTGTGCTTTTTGGTGAAGCTGCTCTGTTTCCTTTCAATCACCACTTTCCTCTCTCAGTTTCTACCCTGCTGTCATGGATGGCTTCTCTCAGCATGCTCCTGTCCCTGTGTTTGATTTCAGCATCTGCCGGTGAGTTAAACCAGAAAACAGATTATTTCTAATTGTAAGTAATGTTTAATCTGTATCATTCTGAGTAATTTGTTTAACACGTTAAAAGATAATTTGAGGGGTTTGTTTGGAGCAGCAAATGTTGCAGTCATATAGTCTAAAATATAACATTTTCTGTCTTCAAATCACTGTTTAATCACCTGTTTAATCACCTGTCACCTGTTAACAACAGCTAATAATGTTAGCTGTTGTTAACAGTCTCTGTTTTGAAGGTGTTTTGAGGATTTTTTTTTAAAGGAGTGGAGATATTTGATCAGGAAAAAGCCTCAAATTCAGCCCTTCTGGATAAGTGAGAAACAAGATTCAAGATTCTTTATTCATCACATGCATAGTTATACAAGTACAACATGCAGTGAAATGTAACCTGACACGCTCCTCGACTGGGCAAAAGGGGAGAGAAGAAGAACATTATATTTTATATACATTAAGTGACTGAACAGACTGAAACATAGGACCTTAGATGACCATGACCAATTCTGAATATCTATACGACGTCTGAATTTGATATGAACTGTGACCTAACCTGGACGTCAATATGACGCTCAAAATTTTGACTTCACACTGGGTAATTTTTTTGGGGGGAGCCAGGTGCAGGGAATTTGAATGATTAATAGATCAAATATTTTTTATTTATAAATAGCAACATCGTTATCAACATGATAAATATGATAATTTATAAACAAATATAATTTATTATGTGTTAGCCTATTGATTTATTCAGGTTTTTTCTTTCTTATTTTACACTTTTCTTTAACTGTTTTATTTATTTGGATTAATCTTAATTAAAACGGTAATTTATTAAAGTGTATTTAATCACACACACACACACACACACGATAAAGGAAACACATTTTATTCAACTTCAAGCCAAATATGACCAAAGAGGACAAGCTCTTTAAAGTGGTTATATTCCAGTTGTAGCCACGCCTCTTTTGTGCCACGCCTCTTTTATGATTAAGAAATCAAACTTCTGAACATTATCGATTACTGGGTCTGAAATTTGTTTGGCTACACAAATAAAACTTCACAAATGTCACTTTTTATCGTTCATTAAAAACACTTTTTGGGGGGTTTTTTCCTTGAGAAAATGACATTCTGGCCACGAGAAGGCGAGTTTGCAATGTAATGCAGGTTTACAGAAGCTGGACTTTGTTTGATTTTGACTATTTTGTACTGAGTGATACACAGATGATAGAAAACTTCACAAACTTCACTTCACTGAAAGATAAAAACTTCACAAATGTCACTTTTATCTTTCATTTGAAATATTTCATTTTCTTATCATTGCCTAACATTATACCAGTATAATGTGAAGGGTATGATATGGCCTAGTTTCAATCAAATTTCCGATTAAAATTGATCAGAATTATAATATTTCTGACTGTTTGAGTCAAAATGATCCTGATTCAAATTGAATCGAAATGGGATTTAATCGATCTGGGACCTTGTGAATCGGAATCGAATCGATTCTAGAAATCAGTGACGATACCCAGTCCTAATTAGTATGAGGTTCAGAGGGCCTGGTGTACGAACTGAAGGCTCACTTAATTATTTAATCACTCACTCGAACTGATTTAAATGTGCTGGATGATGACGATGGTAATTTGTGATGGTGAAACTGGGAGACAAAATTTTTTGGGCATCTTCTTGTCAACACAACCCAAGCAAGTTTATCTCATGCTCACAAAAGTGACAGTAAAGTTTAATTTTATTTTTTTGTTTTTAATGAAATGTGTTTCACACTCTGTTCAGGAGCTTTTATTCCTCTGTGTATTCTTATTCTGACAGATTCTAACAGGTCTGATGGTTTGATTCAGCCACAATTAACCAGGATCAGAGATAGACTCTTCACTGTGATTGGCTGTTGTAGAAGTGAACTGTTGTACTTTGACCTTTAACATCTCTGCTCTGTTGTTTCCTTTTTCAGACCAAGAAATCACAGCTGTATCTGGACAGAACGTCCCTCTGACATGTCGAGTTCCAAACAACAACGGTGAGACTGTAGAGTGGAGCAGAGCTGACCTGAGAGATAAATATGTCTTAGTGTTGAAAAACAAGAAGCCCAAAGAAGATGATCAGGATCCATCCTTTGAGAACCGGGTGGCTCTGCAGGACAAAGAGATGAAGGATGGAAATGTGTCTCTGATTCTGTACAATGTGACGGCTGCTGATAATGGAACATATGAGTGTCGTGTCTTAATGGAGGAAACACAATCATTGGATCTCATCTGCAGCATAACACTGAGTGTTGTTGATCCTCCAGGTGAGTGAGTAGAGTTGAGTGTGTGTGTGATCAGAGGTGAAGCTGCTTCCTGCTTGTTGATGTTTGTTTCTAAAGATGTTGTTGATGAGACTTTGTAGAAAGCAGCTGGTCTGAGTGATGTGATCAGAGTGCAGTAGATAATGTCTGACAGCAGTTTGAAGAGGAAATGGATTCTGTTCTGTTCTTCACTCATCACCTACCTGACAGCTGACAGCTGACACCTGTTTCTCACCTGCAGATCAGACAGGAGGACACACAGAGGATGGAGGATGGAGGGAAGGAGGATGGATCTGTTGGACTGATCGTTGGTTTGGTAGTTTCTGCTGTGCTTCTTGTTGCTGCTGTTGTTGGTGTTTTGATCTACAAAACACGTAAACAACAGAAGCAGGGTTCATACTAGCCTCCAGTTGAACTTCAGTCTGTTTGAAAGGTTTCAGTTTTTTCCAGCTGTTTCAGCTTCTCAGAGGTGACACTGAGCACTCAGGATAAAGACAGTTGTGGTTTTCTAATCATGAAACATGTGCAGAGTCAAATGTCACACATGTCATTAAGAATTGCCAAAAAAAGATTCATAATTATTTTTAAATGGTAAATGGCCTGTATTTATATAGCGCTTTACTAGTCCCTAAGGACCCCAAAGCGCTTTACATATCCAGTCACCCACCCATTCACACACTGGTGATGGCAAGCTACATTGTAGCCACAGCCACCCTGGGGCGCACTGACAGAGGCGAGGCTGCCGGACACTGGCGCCGCCGGACACTGGCGCCACCGGGCCCTCTGACCACCACCAGTAGGCAACAGGTGAAGTGTCTTGCCCAAGGACACAACGACCGAGACTGTCTAAGCCGGGGCTCGAACCGGCAACCTTCCAATTACAAGGCGAACTCCTAACTCTTGAGCCACGATCGCCCCCTGGATTTACATTTTCTTTTTCTTTGGTGTCAGATGTCGACAAACAATCCAGGAAACATTTAAACGTACATCATAGAGTCTCGACCTCCTGCTGAGCTAACATCTCTTTAACTTTTACTTTAACCTCCTGAGACTCAAACTCTTTCATGGCATTTTTAATTTCTCTTTGATATTTGGGCTGATTGGGACCTGATGAATGTGAAAACAAAGAATTACCAGATTTTTTTTTAATCTGATTTTTGTTTCTAAGAAAAATGGGATCCACATATGAGGACATTCCTTTTAAATTTCATAGAACAGTGTCAGTATAACGTCCTCGTACGTGGATGTCAGGCCTTTGTAGAGTAAAATTCTGTATTTTGGTCTAGACGACCCAAAATGTGATGTCCACATGTGTGGACGTGTTACAGGCCCAGCTGTAGAGGGCGCAGCCAGATTATGATCCTGTAAAACAGGAGAGAGAGTGAACACAGGAACCACGCTGCTGTTCGCCTGGTCAGTCTTACCAGAACCACGAGCTCACAACTCAGTCCCCACAGCACTCTGCTGCCCTCTGCTGTCCAGAGTGAAATGACCTCCCCTGTAATACCAAACCTCATTATACCAGCAAAGTGAAACATGCACAATCGCCTCCATATATCACACCATTTAACTCACAGTTGTGACCACAGATTTGTGTGGATCACAGACACCAGGTCCTAGGAGGTTAATATCAAACTACCTGCTGCTTCTCTCATGTTTGTATCAGAGGAGCTTCTGATTATTACAGCTTTAAGCACTGAACGCACTTCTTAACTTTGTAATTGTTCTTTAATATATATGCTTTTAATGCACGTTACAATAGTAGATGATGAGGTTTCATGTTTATTTTTTTAATGTAACTTTCTGACCTGTTGACTCAATTCAGCAGTTTTCAGGGACTTTCTGTTTCTCGTGTTTTTACTGTAAAAGTGCCTTCAGATGGTTGTTGTTTCCTGCTGCTTCATGAATAATTCTGCAGTGAAACTGAATCTGAGCTGGACCCAAACAAACCTCACTGAGCTGATGTGTAAACTGCAAGCAAGCAAGAATCAAACTGCATTAAAAACCTGACAGAAAACCTGCTCACTGACTTTCTCTCACTTTGACTCTGAAACTGTAACGAGAGACAACATTTAGACATTAACTGTCATTATATAACAAGTTTATACAGCTGTAGTCTCTTGATGCTAAGAACAGAAAACAAAAAATAAATAACTTGGTCATAAAAAGGTGTCGGTGTAACTGGCTCAACCAGGACTTTACACGAGGGCTCAGACAGCTGTGTTCATGGTCGTACCTCAGTATTTACAGAGTCAGTGACCAATCTAGGACTGGTTCCATGTTCCCACCAGGAAAAGAAAACGACTCACGTTTTCCATCAGACATCTTTGTGAAACCCACAGAAGCACACGAGAAGATCAAGTGAGACCAAAGTTTATTGAACCTGCAGAGAAACCAGATCACTGCTGTGGAGACGACAGCACACTTAGAAATAACATAAATAACAGCAAAGTTACTGAAGACATGAAAACATGGATTACATCTGCAGACACACAATCTTGTTTTGATACATTTTAACTGCAGGATGAAAAATAAACTGATTAAATAACATCAAATTGCTCCATCTTAACAGGTTACTGGCACCAGAATATTTAGTGGAACTGGTGCTTGTGTCCCAGTCAGTGTGTACATCCTGAGATGCTGCAGCCACAACCCTGTTCACTGTTCCCAGCTCACACTTAAAGACGACTGAATGTTTGCTGTGAGGACTCCTCGATCCTGGGACGACCTGCCTGAAGAAATCTGGCTCGCCTCATCAGTGTCCTCTTTTAAATCCTTGTTAAAGACTAATATATAAACTTTAACTCATCTTATTCATCCAGCTGTTGGAAGTTATTCACTACATGACGCTTGAGTCTGTATGGCTGTAGTTTGATTCATATTTTACTCTTTGCTCTTTCACTCATCGTCTCTGGGAAGCACTCGTAACGATGGTTTGAAAAGTGACACAAACTTAAAAGTAAAATAAAGTTTGATTGTGAGCAACAGATTTATGGTGTTTGTACTAAAAGAAGAGCAGCTGTACCTCTCAGCTCTGACTGTTTTTCCTTCTCTTTGACTGACGTCTTCAGTTCTCACTGCTGAGCCGACTGCAGCTGCATCTGCACAATAAAACACACACACAGGACGTCAGTGCACGATTGACTTTACCCAGAATCCTCTGCAGGAGAAAATGGAAGGTACTCATGTTTAGCTGGACAGAGAAAAGTTACAGGAAGTCGTGATGTCGCTCTGATGTTGTTCAGTTTGTCTTGTACAACATTTTTCTGAAGTCTCATATAAAGACGTCGCTTCTCTGTTTTCTTAACAAAGTGGATTTTCTACAACAGTTTCAATGATAAGAAACAAAATGAATGACATTAGTTATGGAGCCTTTGGTAACATATTCAGAGAACAAGATGGAAAAACAATCAGTTACAGGAGCAAACATCATGCTGGCTTGAACACATATTTGTTGTTGAAGCTTCTCAGTATCTGAATCATGAAGATTTGTTAGTGTTTTTTTAATGAGTTCATCTTTTAAACCATTTTAGCCTCGATTGTCCTGTTAAACACTATTTAAACTTCTGTCTCTATAATGCAACAGAGTCAAGTTTAGCCTCTCTGCTAACTTCAGGCTAAAAACACTGATGACCTCCAACGCTGCCCCTCAGCCTCCTGGTAGAGGCTCCTATGGACCCAGCAGGGTGACAACAACACCCATCAAAGGGACAAAGACACTGAGCAGCCTGCAAAGAAGCCCACTCACTATAAACATCATGTAAGAAATAAGAACTACAATGGGATCATTGATGGAGCTGGACTGTTGTCAGAGTGCAGCTTAGAGGAGATTCTGAGTTTAGCAAAACCTCCTCATGGCTTAAAAAGTCTAACAAGTGTTAAGATTTCCTGTGAATATTACTGTGAACACTGAGACGCTCTCCTGTTTTCAGTGCAGCTCACTTTGTTATTGTTACTCATATAGAATTAAATAAAATATTCAAATAAAAAGTGTAAATATAGACTTTAATTAGCCAGTTTGTTATGCTGCACCGAACAAACACACTACTCTCACATCTGGTGTGAGTGACGGCTGTGACGGGACACGAGCTCCAGCTCAACCTCTGACTTTACTGATGAACGAGTGAAAGTGAATTCCTTTGTTTAGTTTATTATTAGAATATGTTTGTTTGTTAGAAAGTGTTATAGATGCTATGTTATGTCCTACAGAGCAAATATTTCATATTCAGCCTTCATGAAGCAACCAGTTAAGTATTAAATCTTCTATAGCAATAATTCATCTTTGACGTTACATTATTTATATCATTTCAATGTATTCTTCATTTCACACATTTACATTGTTCTAAATATAATGTTTAAATAATTTTCATATTATTGAAGTCAGGATTATAACAGAAGGGTCACAATCATGGCTGCAGCAAATATGAAGACGAGGCTCAATCAATATCAAATACAAACAATATTTAAAGTGAGTTACTGACTCTTAAACTTGTAACTTTATTCAGTAAAAACTGTTTATTCTACCAGTGTTGTAATAAAATAAGTTGTACCATCAATAAATAAACAGCTGCTGAGGACTCGTTGGTGTAGCGAAGGACTAATGTCCTAAAGAGTAATATAGTACACACTCCTTCCTGAGACGACTGAAGGTCCTCTCATTTCCAACACTGTTGACTCTGTGTTGCACACTGCTCAAAATAAAGGGAACACAAAAATAAGAATCCCAGATCTGAATGAATGAAATATTCTCATTAAATACTTTAGATAGTTGAATGTGGTGACAACAAAATCACACAAAATGATGAGTGGAAATCCAATGTAGCAACCCATGGAGGTCTGGATTTGGAGTCACACTCAAAGAGGAAAAACACTCTACAACAATGTCCTTACAACAAGTCAAAGTGAAGCTCGGCAGTGTGTGTGGCCTCCACGTGTCTGTATGACCTACAACACCTGGACATGCTCCTGATGAGGTGGTGGATGGTCTCCTGATGGACCTCCTCTCAGACCT